TGTTGTGATCACAATTTTAAACGCATTGTGATGTTTGTGATGGCAATATTTAGGTATCGTAAATACCATGATGTTTGTGATCACACTTATCCGGGTCTTTACTGTACCCCGGTTGCATCGCGCTCGAGCTAAAGAAACGTGACCAGCGTTGACCGCCTTTCGAGTACCCCTAACACGAGCTCCCGTGCAAATAGTTCTCATTTTCCCTCCCCACCCCTCACTACCCCTCTTCCGCGATTAACAGAAATAAAAAAAAAAGTGATTGAATATTACGCTTACCTTTGATCCTATAAGTAGAACAGGCTCCGCCGAGTAGATTAACACCGCAGATAGTAGAAGTACCCTAAACCGTAGCGCGTATAGAACTTATTTTCTCAATCGTTCACACACACTTTGTTATACGATCCTCTTCGTCTTCCTCGGTATACTGCTCTTCCCACGTCACTTGTCACGTCAGCTATCTTATTATTACTATTTTATTATTCTCTTCGCCCCATTCGTTATGACTAAAACGTCGTTAATATTTTTGTTTTGTTATTATTATTAATATTATTATTTATTTTGTATTATTATTATTATTATTATTAATATTATTATTATTATTATTATTGTTATTATTACTATCTCGGTATCGCTATCATTATATAAATTATTGTTATAAATATATCTGTGTCTGCAGGTACTTCGCTGTCCTGGTTCGTAGAATCGATTAAACGGAGCTTGGTTATGGATTGCAAGGATGGTGGGGAGGGAGGGGTGAAGTGGGTGTGGGTTTCTGCGGACGAGGGACGAGGGAGAGGGGAGGTTACGCCCGTTACCAACGTGAATTTCTGATAAAATCTCACGACGACACCCGGGATAGGGATCTTTCTGGCGCCTCCGTTTCTCTTCGTCCAAAGACACAACGCGTTCTTACGCGCGCCTGTGCGCCGGGCGTACACGTGGTGAAAGCGACGGTGGCGACACAGAGCTTAGCCCCCCACGTGACTCGTTCCCCGGGATAAAATAACGTTTGAAACTCTTCTCTTCTGGCGGGCTATAGATCGCTCTCAATATATTTGTCCCGCGCTCGCCTCTCTGTATTGTATATGTATATAACCGTCATTCAACCGTTAACAATATTATCTGTATTTATTATTTACTTTAATTTTTTTTTTTTTTACTTTTAATTATTTTATTTGTAGTCGCGTTCCTTCGGAGGGGCCTAGGCACTATTGCGCTGCGAAAGAGGTTTTTCAGTTTGAAGGTACTTGTTCGTACGAGGTATATGTTCTCAAGGTAGAAGTTTGTTTTTTTTTTTTTTTTTCAAATGTCAAGGGGCGATATACGCACACGCCCTAGCCGCTGAGAATGGTCTTGTCTCACCGGAGGGGAAGGGGTTTCGTGGGGGTGACGGTGGGGGGAGTTGGAGGGGAGTACGTTTGTCTCAAGGTTTTCACGGCTTCTTTCTCCCGCCCTTCCTCTTCTCGCACCCCTTTCGTTCTTCGTCCCAGTGCGTGTCTCACGATCCCCTTAGAGCTCGCCTCTCTTCCCCCGTTTCGTGTCTCGCCGTGTCTCTTCGTCTTCGTTTCTTCTTCCTCGTCTTCTTCTGCTGCTTCTTCCGCCTTCTCTTCTTCGTTTTCTTCTGAATGGTGAGCCTTTTACCTGACGATCGATGGCAAGGCCCTCTCCGTCACGGTGGGGTCTATCACGGAAGGTCAGAAGTCGTTATCACCTCCTCGAGCTTTCCCGCCTGTATACCACATCGCCCTGAGATGAACTGACACCCCCTCCGCCCCTCGATGCTCGTCCACCACCATCTGGAACAACGAAACACGGTTTTTAGCTTTTCTTTTTTTGACGTGTCAGATTTTAAAGAACTTCATTTTAGACAGGGTGTACGATGCGATTATTTAATTTAATTTTCAATTAATTGATGTAAGAGATTCGGTTTGTTCGCGATTTGGTTGCAGATATTAATGTTGTTGGATTCGGATGGAAGTTTGCTATCGGGTTTTTTATGTCCTAATTGGTACAGGGTGTCCCAAAAATGTTGGAGGTCCTTGAAAGAGGTGGTTCGGAAGGTGATTTGAAACAACTTTTTCCTTAGCGAAAATGTTGTAGGAGGTTTCGTTGAGGAGATATTAACGGAAAACTCCGGACCAATCAGAGCGCGAGGATGCCAGTGAAGCGCTCTGATTGGTCGAGGTTTTCTGTTAATATCTCCTCAACGAAGCCTCGGACAACATTTTCGCTAAGGAAAAAGTTGTTTCAAATCACCTCCACTCTATATATATAGGGTGTCCAAAAAACGTTGTAACACCTTGAAAGAGGTGGTTCGAATGGTGATTTGAAACAACTTTTTCCTTAGCGAAAATGTTGTAGGAGGTTTCGTTGAGGAGATATTAACGGAAAACTCCGGACCAATCAAAGCGCGAGTATACCATTGGAGCGCCCGCTGATTGGTCGGGGTTTTTTATTAATATCTCCTCAACGAAACCTCCTACAACATTTTCGCTGAGGAAAAAGTTGTTTCAAATCATCTCCACTCTATATATATAGGGTGTCCAAAAAACGTTGTCACACCTTGAAAGAGGTGGTTCGGAAGGTGATTTGAAACAACTTTTTCCTTAGCGAAAATGTTGTCCGAGGCTTTGTTGAGGAGATATTAACAGAAAACCCCGACCAATCAGAGCGCTCCAACGGTATACTCGCGCCCTGATTGGTCCGGAGTTTTCCGTTAATATCTCCTCAACGAAGCCTCGGACAACATTTTCACTAAGGAAAAAGTTGTTTCAAATCACCTCCCGAACCACCTCTTTCAACGTGTTACAAAATTTTTGGGACACCCTGTATAGGCTAGGTAAATTGTAACAATAGTAAAAATATTTATTAATATACAATTGCGAATCTGTACGTTTGTTATCGCTCTAAAACTTTACATATTCTTCCATTTTCTTCAATTTCCTGCCAACACCTACGAATTCTCATTGTGTTTTCTTCCATTTACTCGCATTTTTCTCGATTTTCTCCACATTTCCTTCCATTTCACTTTATTTTCCATAATTTATACCACATTCTCTACCATTTCCTTCCATTTTATACAAATTTCCTTGCATTTTCCACCATTTGTCCCACATTTTCTCTCATTTCCTTCCACTTTATCCAACCTTTCTTGCATTTTTTCCATACTTTCTTCCAATTTCCCCCACATTCCTACTAACTTATCAAATCTAAGTAAAACTTTATTCGCTCTCTATTGATACCCTAATTACAAGCACAGACCCACTTGTAACCAAATAAAATAAACCCCGAGCCACTTAGAAAAACAAATTAACTAAACATTCCAAAATTAACACAACATCCCTGAATTCCCATAAAAACAACCAAAATGGAAGAAACCTTATGAAATTGTTCCTCGGTATTCCACGACTCTATCAATTAGAAGCGTGTTTGAAAATCGCTATATAAATTAATGCAACGTTAGACGTAGGGACCTCCATGCGACTCGGGGCGAAAACGTGGCAGGAACGTAATATCTTTCAGACGGAATGGAACGTGTTTCCCCGAGGATCGTGGGGCATGCTCTTAACATTCATGCATTTCTCTTAGAAGGAGGAAAATTAATTTCCACGATTAAGCGAGCGACCCGGCACGCGGCGACCGTCTGAGACTTCTCGAAGAGTTTCTGAATTTATAACGGTCGCAGTTGTTCGTTTAAATAACCAAATCTATGACTTCCTCCCCTTCGCGACACGAAACTTTGTTAAACACGGTGAATGCTCGCGCCTCTTAGACAGGATTCACTGTATACAATGCTTCAATGAAGTAAATTAACAATGACGATGGCTAGGTTAGTATTCTGAAGATAATCACGTGTCTCTTAGACAGGGAGTGTTCGCGCCTCTTAGACAGGTTTCATTGTATATACAATGCTTCAATGAAGTAAATGGAAAATGTCGATGGCTAGGTTAGTGTTGAAATTAAGAGCACTGAGGTATGTTCAGTTTTGAAGATAATCACGTGTCTCTTAGACAGGGAGTGCTCGCGCCTCTTAGACAGGTTTCTCTGTATATAATGCTTCTACCAAACTTTAATAGTCTTCTCAATGAAACAATGTGAAAATATCCTCGACCAGGTTAGTTTCTAATTAAAACAACAAACTTCACCTCTCAAAAAATTTGTTTAAATAATATTGCAATATTATGAGACGAGTTTATGATACATTTCTGGAGAAATATAACCACGTCTCGCGTCCAGGATATAATTGTGTTGTCCTAAAAGTTCCCCGCACGATCCCATCCGGCCTGGCCGGTTTAATTTCGCGTTGACGTAGGTCCAGGGCTACATTGTCTCCGGTTTCACTGTGTGCTCGCATGCGTGCAGTGTACGTTCTTTGTCCTCACGCGATGCATCCACGCACAAACGCGCTGACGGTTGACGATCAGAGGGGTGAAATTAAAAATACCGTGAAACCCTCCCTTGGCTACGCCTCTCTATGTTTTCCTCTGACGCGTTCAGGGCCGTCGAGCACAAAAACGGTGCCCCGTTTCCCTTTTACCAGGCTCGATCGGGGCCACGCTGATTAGCAGGATGTTTACCCTTCTATTTACGGGGCAGAATCGCTCCCACGAGGCAACTGTTGTTATCGATACAGGTTCAATAAAATTCCCTTCGAATTAAATTTCAAATGTATTCTGTATATCGGATCATGTTTTGTATAGGGTACTCTATTTGACGAGTCTATTTTACAGGAAAATCTCCTCCGTTTCGTACGTATTCTCTGTTTGATTGTTGATGTCCATCAGGTTGAGACTCGGTAGAGAAAGGAACCAAAACATCTACCGCGTCCGTTAGAGTCCAATTTAAGCCTCTCGAAGTAAACCACTCTTATGGTTCTTTAAATGCACCATTGAATTATCAATGTCCATCAGGTTGAGACTCGGTAAAGAAAGGAACCAAAACATCTACCGCGTCCGTTAGAGACCATTTTAAGCCTCTCAAAGTAAACCCCTCTTATGGTTCTTTAAATGCACCATTGAATTATCAATGTCCATCAGGTTGAGACTCGGTAGAGAAAGGAACCAAAACATCTACCGCGTCCGTTAGAGTCCATTTTAAGCCTCTCGAAGTAAACCACTCTTATGGTTCTTTAAATGCACCATTGAATTATCAATGTCCATCAGGTTGAGATTGGGTAGAGAAAGGAACCAAAACATCTACCGCGTCCGTTAGAGACCATTTTAAGCCTCTCGAAGTAAACCACTCTTATGGTTCTTTAAATGCACCATTAAATTATCAATGTCCATCAGGTTGAGATTCGGTAGACAAACGAACCAAAACATCTACCGCGTCCGTTAGAGACCATTTTAAGCCTCTCAAAATAAACACCTCGTATGGTTCTTTAAATGCACCATTAAATTATCAATGTCCATCAGGTTGAGACTCGGTAGACAAACGAACCAAAACATCTACCGCGTCCGTTAGAGACCATTGTAAGCCTCTCAAAGTAAACTCCTCTCATGGTTCTTTAAATGCACAATTAAAATGATCAATGTCCATCAGATTGAGACTCGGCAGACAAACGAACCAAAACATCTATCACGTTTGTTAGAGAGAATATTAAGCCTCTCAAAATAAACACCTCGTATGGTTCTTTAAATGCACCATTAAATTATCAACGTCCACCAGGTCAATAAGTTACGTATGGAATACTCACGAACTCTGATTTCATGCATTATAGCATTTTTAAAGTTCACAATGCCACATCACAATCTGCACAATATTCACAAATTGTGACCTTGCGTATTACAACATCCAGAAAATTCACGAAACCTCCCCTAACCTCTTCCAATCTACACTCATAATTCACATCGCAAACTACGCGATGTTCTCAGATCATAAAACGGACAGGTACGTGGATTGTGATCTTTGGCATCGTGAAAGGTAATCTTTTCGTAACGAAAGTAATAATGCTCGTCAGAGTGGTGAGAAATCGCTCGACTGTTGAGCGAAACGCAATACCTCTGTTTTGCAACATGCGAGCGTTACGATCCAGACGAAACAGGCCTGGTGTTGTGATACTCAGGCCGCGGTGCTCTGATACACGTACGAGAAAAAACAATGAACGCAGCCACAACAGGACGTGCATTCACGCACACTGCGCGACGAAGGACACGCAGATAGCATGGCGACATGTCGGTGTGCCTGAACCAGACAAGGTCATTCATAAGTAGCTCAAGTTCAACTAATAGTATTGTATTACGATACCTACGACCCTCTTCCTTCTTCCTCATTTCTCTCTCTCCACCTTCTCGTCTCCTCTCGACCCCTCCGACCTTCGTTGTGTTCCATAACGATCAGGCTACGTGACAATTAATTCATCTTTTATGCAAAATTAACATTTTTAGTTGGTTATATTGTTTATGGTTCAATATACAGCGCGGTATATCAAGTTGAGACGAGTTTTGTCAACCAGGTTGAGACTATGGTGTCCCCACTATTTGCTGGAGGCTTAAAATTGTCTCTAACGGACGCGGTAGATGTTTTGGTTCGATTGTCTACCGAGTC